AGACACACAAAGGATGATTTGAACACAATGAAATTAAATTAGAAAATCAATTAACAGAAAGATTGAGCCCTGGTGTGGTGCTGTAGGATAAGCACGGAACTGCTAACCACAAGTTCAATAGTTCAAACCCACCAGTCACTCTCAGAAACCCTATACAGGGTCGCTATGAGTTGGAACTGGCTCGGCGGTACACAATAATAACAACAGAAAGGTGTATAAAGACTCCACACCTGTTGGGAAACTAGTAATACATTTCTAAATAAACCGTAGTCAAAGAAGAAATCAAAAGAGGAGTAAGAAAGCATTTTTGTTCTGGAAGAATGGGAACACTCTATGCATTAAATGTTGTTGTTCAGTGCCGTCGAGTTGGGTCTGACTCATAGCGATTCTGTATAGGGTTTCCAAGGAGCAGCTGGTAAGTTTGAACCGCTGACCTTGTGGTTCAAACCAATCTTACAGTTCAGTGCTTTATCCTACAGCCCCACACCAGGACTCTAGCTAAATCAATACTCCGTGGAAAATTTACAGCACTAAATGTTCATCTTAATAAAGAAGAAAGAGTTCAAGTTAGCTACCTCAGTATTTTCCTTAAGAAACTTGGACAGGGAAGAAGAGATATAAAAGATCAAGGTAGAATCAGCGGTACAATTACTTTGGAAAATAGCTCAGCAACGTCTTAAAAAGCTCATCATATGGAGACCTTACAGCGCAACCCATGCTCCCAGGCTTTACTCTATAGAGAAAATACAGCTTGCGGCCTTATAAAACCGGAGACCAACCAAATGTGCAACAATACGAGTGTGTGCAACGCAACTGTTGTATCTACATCCAGTGGGGTACCATGGTTGTTAGGTGCCGTCGGTCAGTTTCCAACTCATAGTAACAGTAGAACCGCTTCATTGTGTTCCTGCATGGGAACAAATCACCAGGTCTTTCTTTCTCCTGAAACTGCTGAGTGGCTTCCAACCATAAACCTTTGAGTTAGCAGCTGAGCACTGAGCGGTTCTGTCACCCATGGTCCTTAATAGAAGACTATTCGACAACAGTAACAAGAAAGAACAACTGATGCAAACCACCACATAACTGAATCTAGAACTAACCATGCTGAGAGAAAGACGCTGAGCAAAACAGAACATCTAAGGCATCATTCCATTTCTAGAATGTACTAGAAAACACAAACCAATCCATAGCGACAGAAATCCGATCCATAGTTTTGTGGAAGTGGGAGGGTGTTGGGGAGGAATTACAAAGGTTCACCTGGAAACTTTGGTAGCCATGGCTGTTCTTTAACTTGAGTGCGCTGTTGATTTCACAGGTGAATGCATTTGTCACAAAGTCTCCAGTTATACACTTTCAATGTTGTTGTTAAGTCCCATCGAGTTGCTTCCAACTCATAGTGATCCTGCATAGGGTTTCTGAGGAGCGGCTGGTGAGCTTGAACCATTGACTCTGCAGTTCAACTGACCTTTCGGTTTTGCGGTTATCCTCCAGTGCCACAAGCAGGATTCCATACTCTCAATATGTACAATATATTAGTTAGTTCGTTCTATATGAATAAAGCTATTCAAAAAACCTCTGTTGATGGAGAGAAATTAATTCCACTTAAAAGAAGTTTCCAAACAAAGAATCTGAATTATAGCACAGACAAAGGAAGCTTGTGAAAATGAAGAGAGGCATGTGAAATTTACAGTGGGAAGGTTTAAAATACATTGTTTCAGTGTTCCCAAAAGAGCCTAGGAGAGAGTCAGTATTTGAAGTAAGGTGGCTGAATTTTTTTCAGATAGAAATCAGTGCACAGATCATGAAAGCCCAAGGAACTCCCTAATGGAATAAACAAATAGCATACACCACATACATCAAAGTAAAACTGTTAGAACACCAAAGATTAAAAGAAGATCTTAAAAGTACCCAGAGACAAAGCGCCTTCAAAGAACAGAAAAGTAGACAAACAGCTGACTTAACCATCACAAAACCGAAACTAAAAGCTCATGAACAGCAGCTTTGATGTGCAAAGAGAAAATAAGAGTCAACTTAAAATTGTGGACCCAGGAAAAACATTTTCCAGCCACATGAAACAAATCCATCCATTTTCAGGCTAATAGAAATGGAAATTTTTCCTCTCTAAAGGAAATTCAAAAGAAGATGTTTCAGACAGAAGAAAATGATCCCAGCAAGAAGATCCAACATTCAAAAACAGTGAAGAGGAAAGGTTTGAGCAATTATGTGGGTAAATAGAAATAAATGGATATTTTTTTTTATTTAAATGAGAGACAGGGGAAAGATACTGCAATACATATAGTAGGAAAAGAATATTTGCAAATCTGGGATATATAAAGAACCCTTCAAATTATATCACTTGAGTGGAAAAAATATTAAAAACCTGATAATAAATATTAATAAGGATATGAGGAAAGGCTGAATTCCCACTCATAGGTGGAGAGTGATTTGTTCATATCCTGGTATAGCAGCACTGCTGGGATAGTACTGGACTGCTAACCACAAAGTCAGTGGTTCAAAACCACCTGTTGCTCCTTGGAAATGCTATACAGGGTCGCTATGAGTCAGAACTGATACATGGTACTTAACAACAACAACAGCCAAGTTGAAAATGTGATTACGTTTTTACAAGTCAACCATTCCACTTTTAGGTATAAAATAACTAAATGATACACTGTGACTTAAGATGCTAGATCCTGAAGACATTGTGGGTTGTGTCTTGTATTTTTCTAGGATTGCTCAGTCTGCAGGAAAGGGAGTTTCCCCATCACATAGAACCGCCATCGGATGCACTAGGATCTGGGCACATTGTTGTCGTTGGATACCACCGAGCTGATTCAGACTCAGAAGTATCCCATGTTGACTGAGTAGAACTACCGCATAGGGCTTTCTAGGCGATCATCTTCAGGGGGGCACACTGTCAGGTTTTTCTCCTGTGGGACCGCTGGTGGGTTTAAACATCCCATCTTTCTTTTGACAGCTGAATGCGTAGCCATTGTGCCAGTGGGGCTCCCTCTGGACACACTGGGGTGTGTATTGGGGAATGGGGAGAGGTGATGGCAGAGTAGGAGGTGCCTGGTGTGAGGTTGGGGCAGAAAGCAAGAGTTTACTTTTCATCTTGTAGGCAGTGGCTTTTTAAGCAAAACCTTGTAGGGTTTGAAGGCAGAGGGAACACAATGGAAGTGTATTCCAATCCATGCGCATTGGTGTTTGTTGTGAGAAGAGACACGTGTCTGTATATCTCAGCACTGAGTCTGGAAGGACACACACCTGGATGTGAACAATGTTTGTCTCCCGCTGGTTAGACTATAAGGGATATTTTTATAGTCTCCTCTCTACTCTGAATTTTTTCCTGCAAAGGACAAGCATTGCTCACAAAATTAGAAAAGCAATAAAAACTGTAAATAATTAACACTCTCTTTCTTCAGGCCTAGATTTTCAAAGCAACTCTTTCCAAGGTTTGCTGGATTCCTGGCCTTAAAAAGGCACCATTGATGAACATGGTTGGTGGGGCTATGCCAGGTGGTCAGATAGTGAAACAAATTCGGTTCTTCAACCGTGCAGCTCTAGACCTAGCTAAACAGAAGCCCTTATTCTGCAACACAGAGACGTCTTTTAAAGTCTCGCTTTAAGTTCTTCTTGGGGTTGAGTTAAATCACCCGTTGTAGTTCCTGAACCTGCGGACACATGTGGAAATGATCAAAGCAGCCACATACCCTACCTTTCGGAGTTGATCCGCAGTTTTTTCTGCCTGCTGCTCCCACGAGCCATCTTTGCCCTCCTACCAGGTGGCCTTCTCTTCTGCTCAGGCACCCAGTCCTGGGACGTCGTTCCTGGGGCTACTGGGCAGGAGGGCTGAAAACAGCAGGTATGTTGGCATCATATTGCCATGTGGTAGAGACAATTCAGAAGGGCTCTGTGAGGGTTAAGGCTGTAGATGAACTTGACTTTTTCCCACTGGTTTTGCTTCTCCAGAGAACCCAGCCTAATGCAGGCCCTCTCTCCACAGACAGGGAAACCGAGGCACAGCAATGCAGCACTGCCATCCGGCCTGAGTCCCAGAGGGCTCTGGCCAGGAAGCTGCAGAGCATTCCTGGGTGGAACCTTCTGGAACTCTGCCTGGACTGGATCCACAGAGGGAAGACCAGACCTTTGGTAGCAACTGAAGATCCAGGGAACACCACGGCTAACTCCTTTCCTCCTCCTACTTGACCTACCCGGGTACCCACGCCTGATTCCTAGCTGCCTCTTGCAAGAAGGAAGACCAGAATGGGCACTGAGGCCTCCCTCTCTGTCCTACACATCCTATTAATCTACCACCAACTGGATGGAGAAAACAGTAGCCACACACACAGGTTTTGCCTGGGAGACGAGGGGTAGCCTGCAGGGCCCCGACTCCAGATCCTTGTTCAGTAGGGTTTGTTTAGAACTGAGCCTCAACTCTAAAATCCAGATGCATGGATTCCTCAAGACGGGACTCTGAGTTTGTCAATTCGAGCACCCACCGAATTTCCCTTTTGGGCTCTGCTCCCAGAAACCTCTGAAGCATGTTTGGGTCCCAGCATAGTAATTACTTTTCCAGACTCCCCCATACAATGAATCTTTCTTTTGTAAAAGATGGTAGTTACCTTGTGTCTATCTCTCAAGAAGTCTCTAGCTTATCATCTTAGAGTGCCCAGATTCCACCCTTGGGCGGTGTTTTATTCCCTATTTTGCCTCTGTTACCAGGAAGCTCAAAGTACTGAGTCTAGTTATAAAAAAATTCTCACCCAGACTTTGGACACAATAGTTCTGTCCTTTGAAACTTAATCTTTTACGTGTTTCTTCTTCTAGCTTGGTTCTACTTTCTTACTTGCTGAACATACAGCTGCTCAAATACCCCCCTGGATGCTATTCCTTGATTGCAGGTACTACTTGGGTATCCCACACTCTCTCCCATTACCAGCCCTGCCTGGCTAAGCTAGAACGCTCAATCCCAGGGCTCTGGGAACAAATGGCCTTACCTTAGATGTTGGCACAGACGGTGGGTCTCCCCGGCTGATCCCTGTCCGTCCTTCTGGACCCTCGTCCTGGGGGCTGCTTCTGACAAGATGCAGAAACGAGTACACAGAAGAGGTCTCCTTCTGCTCCGCTGGAAGAGGGAGGCTTCGGCTCAAGCAACACCATGTCAGCCGTGGCTCAGTCCCCAGCGAGGGGAAGGCTCCCTTGGTCCCCAAACTCCTGGGGTTCCCTGAGTGGAGAGGCAAGGCCAGCTTGGGCCAGGCAGGGGGCTGTGTGATGGCCGAAAAGAAGGAGCCAGACTGGAAGGGACAGCTAGCACTGAGCCTGTTGAGTGACCTCGAGGAAGGGGCATCGAGGACTTTCTCCCTGACAGGTGGCCAAGGATTAGGGGCAACTCCTGGGGGCCTGGACGTGCTACCCAAACAGAGAGGGTGAACAGTGGGGGTCTCCACCTCTGTGTTCCGAGCCAAGCAGGAGCCAAGTGTAGAGGTGGATATGAAAACGGCTGGGTTCCGGGACGTTGGGGGGCTTGTTTGCAGACTGTCCTCATCCTCCTCTCTGGCCTGTGTCCCTTCTACCTCATCCCGTACCTCAGGGATGCTGTCTGTCTCTCCTGAGACCCTGACTGAGGCTGGCCCAGGGCACCGAGGCATGCTCCTCCCTGACCCCACAGAGGGAACCTGTTCCTCAGGCCACCTTCTCCAGCAGAGAGGGCCCCGACCCTGTTCACATCCCTTCGAGGCCTGTGGCTCAGAGGGGGTCTCTCCCTGAGGTAGCCTTAGGAGGTACTTTGGGGTGAAGGTATTGTCTGGGGCTTGGGAGTGAGGCCCAGGGGGCACAGCTGCAGGATGCAATGGGCGCTCCTTGTCCCTGGGCCCAGCCTGTCTCAGGACAGCTGAAGAAGCAGCAGATGAGGTTCCATTGTGGTTCCCACGGTCCATGCAGTCAGCACTAGAAGGCAGCTCTCCCTGTCTCTCCACAAGGTCACTGTCCCCGGCTGACGGAGAGGAAGCCTGTACAGGATCCTCAGGGGTCTTTTCTCTGTTACCTCCCGCTCCTGGACGTTTCAGCTGGCCCTGGTCCCCGAGCCCGTCCACTTTTAGCTTCTTCCTCTCTGAGGGGAGCCTGTTCCCTGTGGCTTGGGCCTGCCCAGGGCCAGTGATGGCCAGCCTTGGAGTGTTCCACAGGTGGGCTCCCTTCTCTCCCCTATCACTGCAACCAGGGTCTCCTCCATTCAGGGGGTCAGACCCCAGAGACAGGTCACCCGCTGGCTCCACCCTCCCATTTGGAGGAACTTGAGGGGTCTTAAGGTCCAGAGAGGGAGCGTCTCTGCAACTGAGGTTGGGGGGCTTCACAGCCCCCTTCCCCTCCTGCTCATCACTGCATTCTGGCCTGGACTTGGGGGGCTCAGCCACCAAGGAGAATTCTGGGGCTGCCTGGTCGCCTCCTCGGGGCTCTGACTCAGACCCAGAAGACATGGTTGCAGGAGGGAGAATGTCCCCAAAGACAGGGGTCCTCTCTTCCCCACACACAGGGGTCTTGACATCCCCACTGACAGGGGTCCTTGTGACTCCAGCCCGCTTGGCCTCTGTCTGGGGAGATGCAGCTACTCTCATCTGGTCTTTCTGGTAGATTCTCTTAAACGTCTCGTCCCTATATACCCGCCACTTCTCCTGAGAAAACATCTTCAGCCTGCGCTGGTCACCTCTCTTCCTGGACCCCCTGCCCCTACTGACTGTACCCTCTATGGCAGTGGTCTTCGGGGGGTCCTCTGCAAGGACCAGACTCTCCCCACAGGGAGTACCAGCCAGGTCCTCCACAGCAGTCTGCCGGACCAAAGCCCGGGGGTGACTGCTAGGCATGGCAGGCCAGCTGCCGCCCAGCTGGGCAGGGGCAGGCCTGGGGCTCAGTGGCCTCTGTCTCCGAAGGCACGTCTCCTTGGGGTCCGGCTCCCATTCCTGCCACGTCCGGGTGCTCTCGACAAAGGGTAGCGAATTGCTTCTGGTGACAGACACACACTCCATAGTGGTGCGGAACTGGGTGGACACAGAATGAAAGGAGAGGGGCCGGGTCTTGTCTGGCGGGGTGCAGGTGGAGCCGGCCCAGCCCATGGTGGCCTGCCGCCTGCGGCCGGGCTCCAGAGCCCGCATGTCGAAGTGGAAGGAGTCCTTGTAGGTATAGGGCATGGGGAGGTCGATGCTGCCCTGCTTGGAGAGCACCGTTTTGCGGGGCCGCACCGTGTCCAGTTGCGGGTCGTCCACCACGGCCTGGTTGTGTGAAATGAGCCGCGCAATGCGCTCCTCCAGCCATCTCTTCTCCAGTTCCTGCGTGTCCTGTCGCTCCCCGGGCCCTGGGCCTCCCTCCCCGTCGGCGCTGCGCTCAGAGAGGCTGCGCAGGGGGCTGGCGGGCACCGTTGGCTGCTCGGAACTGTCCGAGCGGGACAGGTAGCCAGAGTCCGAGCTCTCACACTTTCGAAGCCGACCCTCGGAGGAGCCCTTGGTATCCCAAGCCTTCTCCCAGGATGTGGCCAGCTGCCGCTGCAGAGAACACAGCTTGCTGGCTGCGGGAGACTTCTGCCTAGTATCCGGTGGGGCCTCCCCATCAGCCAATGAGAGCCCCCCACAGGCAGCAGTTTCCGGCTTGGCGTCCAGGCTCTCGGAGGGTCCTTCATCTCCCCTGTGGCTCCGGCTGGTTCCACTGTTGTCCACTCCGGGGGGCTCTCCGGCCCTGTCCGCCTCATCTAGGAGGTTGCTGCCACCCCCATCAGACTCAGAGGAGCGGCGTGAGTTGTTGAGGTGTGTCTGGGTACGTCTGTGCTTGTACAGGTTGCTCTGGGTCTTGAAGGCGATACCGCAGGTGTCACAGGGGAAGGGCCGTTCACCTGTGTGTGACCGGATGTGCTTCTCCAACACGCTGGGTTTCAGGCAGTCCCGGCCGCAGTGTGGGCACAGGTACCTACCTGTGCTCCGCACCTTGCTGGGGCTGCCCAGTGAGGGGCTCGGGCCCGGTGATAGCAAAGGCAGAGCACTGACAAGATTCACGGTCAGCATGGGGGTGGACGGCTTCCCCAGTGGGGTGGACCCGGGCCCTTCAGGCTGCAGCAGGGGGCTGAGGATGAAGGGCAGGCTGGCCCCCTCCAGGCCACCAGGCACCAGGGCTGGACGCAGCTTTGGGCCCCCTGGAGGCACCACGTGGTACAGGGAGATGGGGAGGAGCATGGTAGGGGCCAGGCCCTGCTCTGAGGGCAACAAGACAGGGCCCAGGGTCAGGCGAGGGGACCCCTGCCTGCCGGGGGCCGCAGGGAGACCTTGAGCAGGCTGGTCCCTGGTGGGTGGGCCTCCATCCCACATTGTCCAGCGACCTGCGGGCAACAAGCAAACACTACCATGCAGTAAACTCTAGCTGCCCCATTGAAGCTTGATAGCAGTCCTCACCCCCAACAGCCCTAGCTCTTTCCACAGGTTAGAAAGTGGAAACTGAGGCACAGAGCACTGGAGCAGCTGGGATCTGAACCCCAATCTGTCTGACCCCTGCCTCCCAGTTGACACACCCAAGGGGACTCAATCTTGCTGTACACTGGGTGCTGGGTGCTCATCATGGGGTCCTGGGCAGAGGGGACACCCCAAAACTGTGCTGACATCATGAGAAAGCAAGTTGTGTTGCTTGTCAGGGGCCTCGAGGTCCTGAAGATTCTGTGCACTTGGGCAAAGTCCCTTTCATTCTTTGGGACTCAGTTTCCAATCTGTGAAATGGGCGGGGAAGCACTCTAGTATTCGGAGCCTCACCACTGATAGGGAGCCAGAGTTAGCAAATGGAAACACAGGACTCCCGGTTACAGTGGGATTTCAGGGACACAATGAATAACTTTTAAAATATGAGTGTGGCCCAAAAAAGGAATTCTGGCAGTAGAATCAGGATTACATTACCCAATAAGCAGGTTATCCAGTCTAACTTTTGCTACATTCACCCACCAAGAAATGAGTCCAGAGTGAGCAGTTAATGGACTTTGTTGTTGTTGCTAAGTGCCGTCAAGTCGGTTCCGACCCATAGCGACCCTGTACAGGGTTTCCGAGGCTGTAAATCTTTACGGGAGCAGAACGCCTCATCTTCTCCCGCGGAGCAGCTGGTAGTTTCGAACTGCTGGCCTTAAGGTTCGCAGCCCGATTCGTAACCACTACGCTACCAGAGCTCCTTAGTTAATGGACTAGGATGGATTATTTTGTTGTGGTGGTCAAAATGCCGTCAAGCGGGTTCAAACTCCTAGTGACCCTGTATAGGGTTTCTGAGGAGCAGCTGGTAGGTTTGAACCCCCAACCATCAGCAGTGTAATGCTGATCCACAGTGTCAAAAGTCCCATTTTAAAAGCAGCTACATCACTGACAGCTAAGATGCACACCTTCCCCCGTCCCAAAGAAGCTCAAACCCACTACCACCAAGTTGATTCCAACTCATAGCAACCTGTACAGGATAGGAGAGAGATGTGCCTTAGGACTTCCGAGACTGTCCATCTCCATGGGAGCAGACAGACATCTGCCTCCAGGGGCAGCGGGCAGGTTTGAACCACCGACCGTTTGGTTAGCAGTACAGTGTTTAGTCTGCTTCAGCACCAGTGCTCCTTCAACCACACGTACGTATTGTATGTACAGCTCTATCTGAATGTGTGGATAAACAGAGACAGGACACCACAGATTAATGGTGGTCGGTGGTGGTGGTGAGCCGTGGAGTCTGTTCTGACTCATAGCGACCCTGCATAGGGTTTCCAAGGCTGTAAATCTTTAGGGGAACAGAAAGCCTCATCTTTGTCCTGCAGAACTGCTGGTAGTTTCGAACTGCTGACCTTGAGGTTCGCAGCCCGACTCGTAACCACTACGCTACCAGAGCTCCTTTGGCACCATCACATTCCTTCATCTGGTATGATGGTTATGCACTTAGCTCCGAAACGAAAGGCTGATGATTTCAATCCATGCAGCACAACGTGAGACAAAGACTTAAGGATTTTCTCCTATAAAGACAACGGACGACCTAGAAAACTGTATGGGGCAGTTCTACTCTGTCACATAAGGTGTCTAGAAGTTGGAATCACCTTGACAGTACCCAACAACAGAACCCAAATATTGCATGAGAATAGTAATTGTTGTTAAGTGCCACCACGTCAGTTCCAACTCAAAATGATCCTGTATAGGGTTTCCAAGGAGCAGCTGGTGGGTTTGAACTGCTGACCCTGTGGTTCACAGCCCAGTGCTGATCCTACAGTGCCACATCAGGAGTCTAGAATAGTCTTTAGTATATCTCAAACTTTGTATGGGTTATACTAATACTAAAAAAAGAATTCCTTGTTGATCTAGATCAGCTAGATCTAGATCCAATGGAGCTGAGTGGCCTATAGTTCATCTGGCATCTGAGCCAGGAGAGGAAAATGCCTCCAACCTCAGGATCTACTTAGTTCCCTCCTCAAAGGGGAGCCTTCCATGCCCCTTGAGCTCCAATTGAGGTTCCCTCTGACCCTGGAGGTATGGGAGAGCAAGAGCGGCCCAGCCATGTCTTCAAACTGTGGAGGGAAAGCCAGGTACAACAGCTGGCTAGATCCATGGCTGCAAGAACAGAAGTTCCAGGTACACAGCCAAGTGATGCCCACGTTTCACCCACCGTCCAGCTTACCTCCTGGAAACAAAAGTTAGATCTCCAAATTCCAGCCTGGAGCAGTGACGGTGTCCAAGCAGGCTGTGCCAGAACCAGCTGCAGGCTGGAGCCAGCTCCCACAGCCTAGCTTTGGCTCCAGAACGGTGATTGTCAAATGTTCAGGAGTTTTGCAAGCTGGCTGCTAAACAACAAAAACAAAAACCCTCTCAGGAATTGATTCTGATTTATAGAGACGACATAGGACACAGGAGAACTGAGACATAGGGTTTGCAAGGCTGCCATCTTTACAAAACAGACTGCCACACTTCCCTCCCAGAGAATGCTGGTGGATTGAATCCCTCCACTTTTCAGTTCGCAGAGGAGCACTTAACCACTGTGCCACCAGGGCTCCTCTGTTAAATACAATCGTCATTACGAGTTAAATTACCAAAGCTTACAATTAAGCTTTTTTTTAAAAAAAAAAAAAAAGCAAAGGAACTAAACACTCACAATTTACTACTTTCTCAGTCTTTTATTATATCTTCTATTCTATCTTAACGTAGTGGTTACAAATCAGACTGTTAACCTCAGGGTCAGCAGTTCGAAACTACCAGCTGTTCCACAGGAAAAAGATGAGGCTTTCTGCTCCTGTAAAGATTTAGAGCCTCGGAAACCCTGCACTGGGTTGCTATGAGTCAGAACCGACTCCACAGCACATGACAACAACTATAACAATATCTTAATCACTGCCAATATGCCTGAGATTACCAATGTGGATTGTCCCTGCAAGGCAGAAGCACTCTGTCATAGTATGAGATATGCAATCTCTTCCCAACTTTCTATTCAGCATAGCTTGAAACTGGTCACAGTAGGAGCTTTTACAGCATTTACAGAAATGAGTGGATGGTACAAATTCAGATTTTATTTTATTTTTTTTACCCAGTTTGTCAGTTTGTCGTTCTGTGGTGACTTCTATGTTGCTGTGATACTGAGAGCTATGCCACCAGTATTCCAAATAGCAGCAGGACCACCAACAGTAGACAGGTTTCAGTGGAGCTTCCAGACCTAGACAGACTAGGAAGAAGGACATGGTGCTCTACTGAAAACCCTGTCCATTGAAACCCTCATGAATAGAGCATCGTCTGATACAATGCTGGAAGACGGCATCAAAACACAGCGGGGGAAGAGCTGCTTCCTCAGTGACATGGATGGAGTAAAGTTTTGGGGGAGTCTTCATTCACTAGGGTGCCATGACTCAAAATGAGAAGAAACATCTGCCAACATCTGTTAATCAGAAGTATGGTGCCTGGGATGTTGGAAATCATCAACAAAGAAATGGAACACATAAACATCAATATCCTAAGCACTAGTGAACGGAGATGGACTGATGTTGGCCATTTTGAATTGGACAGTCTTATGGAGTCCTGGTGTGGTGCTGTGGACTATGCGCTGGACTGCAAAGTGAGTTTGAACTGCAAGGTTGGCTGCTCAAGCTCACCAGGTTCTCCTTGGGAGAAACGCTATACAGGTGGCTATGGGTCAGAATTGACTGGATGGAACTTAAAAACAACAACACAGTCTACTATGTGGTAAATGATGAACTGAAAAGGAATAGCATTGCATTCATCATGAAAAAGAACATCTCAAGAACTGTCCATAAATACAGCGTTTTCGGAGATCAGCTGATATCCATACATCTACAAGGAAGACCACCCCTCATCTGTCAGTTTGTCGTACTGTGGTGGCTTGCATGTTGCTGTGACCTCACCAGATGGAGTGCAAAGACATCAAATTGACTACATCTGTAGGAAGGGACAATGCAGAAGCAGCTCAATATCATCAGCCTGAATTTCCACATGAGCAATTGATGCTCTGGTCCATAGGCAGCCCCTGGCCTTGTTTCAGCTGATGATACTGAACTTTTCCACCATCTTATCCCACAGACATAGTAAATTTGATCCCTGTATCTTCCATTGGGTTAGGTCCATATGTACAGCGCCTTTTATGTTGTTTAAAACTCCATCTGTAATGAATAAGTCACGCTTGGTAAAATGGAGAGTCAGTGAAAAAAGAGGAAGACCCCTTACAGTAGGGATTGGCACAGTGATAGCAGCAATGGCTCAAGCTTAACAACAATTGTGAGGATAGTGCAGGACCTGGCAGTGTTTCGTTCTCTTGTGAAGAAGGTTACTGTGAGTTGGAACCAACTCGACGGCACCTAACAACCACATGGACTGCCAGAAGAACAAACACATATATGCTGGAAGAAGTACAGCCAGAATGTTCCTTAGAGTGAGACTTTGTCTCTCATCCTTTGGACATGTTCTCAGGAGGGACCAGTCCCTGGAGAAGGACATCATGCTTGGTAAAGTGGAGGGTTGGTGAAAGAGAGGAAGAGCCTCAACGTGACAGATTGGCACAGTGACAGTAACAGTGAGCTCAAATGTAACAGTGATCAGGCAGTGTTTGGTTTTGTTGTAGAAAGGTTCACTATGAGTCAGAACACCTCACAATACACAAAACAATAACAAGGAAGACCAGTTAATAGAACTGTTATTCTAAATGCATCAACCACTATAATTCCAAAGATGAAGAAATTGAAGATTTTTACCAACTTCTGCAATCTGAAATTGATCAGGCATGTAATTAAGATGCATTGATAACTATTGGTGATTAGAATGTGAAGCCTGGAAGCAAAGAAGGATCAGCAGTTGGAAAATATGGCCTTTGT